GCATTTTCATTTTTATCATTATTAAACTGAGAGTAATTAAAAAATTTGTATACAACATAATCAACATCTGAAGCACCAGCTCTCTGTCTTATGTTCTTACCACTGGAAAAAAAGGCTTTTTAAACAAACCATTCCTGCACCTGCCTTGGATTTACATACTCGGCTTCCTGGCTTCAGGAGGCTATGCAGAGTAAAAAGGTATTTCAATTTGATAGTTTCTTCATATAATTAAAGTGATTCTTTGGTTCTGTTCAAATTTCACATTAGGAATCTTTCATGTACCTCAAGTATAACCAAGGTGAGTTGAAAATCTCTTACTCTAAATTCATACTGTCATGTGTTAAAATTCTTATATTTTACAGAGGGAAAATTACATACCTAAAAGCTGCTATTACTGCAGTTATTTGACAGGAAGAAGAGTGACAGGTCTGGAAATAATAGTAGGCTTCCCAGAGGTATCCAGGGTAAGAACTGAGATTGTCATTGTATAAAGACACTTGATGATCAAGCGCAGTTTCATTTCATCAAGACTCAATGAACTGCAGAAACATCTAGAAAAGAGAGTAATTACCCAAGCTCAATTTGAAAAGAGGGGGAAAAAAAGGTGTGGTTATGGTGGGGATGTTGTCTAGATAGGGATTTTCCAAAGTGCCCATTAATCACTTAAAATACCTGGGGGTTTACAAGGAGGGCAAAGACAATGTGGTAAATGTTTAGGGTACACACATTTAGGCCTCCCAGAAAACCCACTTCACTATATTCACTATATTGTTTCAATCAATATTTCCAAACTTATATGTATCTATATCTATATCTATATCTATATCTATATCTATATCTATATCTATATCATCTATCTATATCTATCTAAACAATAAGTCACACACACACACATATATATACACACATACATATGAATGTATGACTAATTGTTTACATATAAACTATATACACATGTGTGTGTGTGTGTGTGTGTATACTTGTTGGAATTATCTGTAGAGGAGGTTTGGAGAAAAGTTGGTGAAAGGGCTGCAAGATTGGAATATTTTCTTTCTCAGTCTTCACTGAGCTGCTCATCTGAGAGAGATCAGAATACTGGATGTATAAGAGGGTCTCTCACAGAAGGGTTTACAATTGTAAATGGTGATCCAAGAATCACGACACTAAAAGTCTCAATTTCATCCAAGCTCCACTGAGGTCAGAGGGCAGAATGAGAATTTTGTGATGGGATTAGTGAGCAGATTTCTTTGGAGACAGTTATTGCTGTGCTGTGAGTCCCTTTTCTAAAACCTTTGGGATAGGGGTTGGGGGGGGGCATCTTCTAACACTTGAGCTGTGGGAAGAGCTTCAAGAAAACCCCTTGCAGATCTTTGAAATACTTTCACATCACTGGGAGACATGAGTCTGGTTCTGAATCCCATGTGAGAGCACGTAATAGCCTGTGGACCCTGGGGTCTGACTCATGCCAAGAACTGGAGACAGTTAGACACTGGCTCTCATTGCTTTGGTGGAGAAGGTGGCCAACTCCTGAGAGATAGGCTAAGAGAGGAAGGCAGTAGAGCTTTTCCCTGTGGACCAGATCTGAGCCATACAGGAGGCCAGCATTACGTCAATCGGTCCCATCCAAGAGTGCCACCTGGCAGAGCAAGGAGCCCTCAGCAGAAAATGGTGGAGAAAAGTAGCAGGTTCTCAGGCTTCCTCCAGGGACTTGCACAGGAGGGACTGACTCAACAGGACTTATCCAAAGAGGCCCAAAGAAGTGCCAGCTTTAACTGTCTGCCAGACCCACCAAGTTAAATACTGGGGAATTGTAACCACCCCACCATTCTTTTGACTTTGTTTCTATAAATGCTGACTCTGACAGCATATTTGTATAAGTATCCTGGTAACAAACTTCAGAAGATGCAGACTCAGACCTCTGGTCCTCCCAGTTCCAGGACATTTGCTGACCTTCATCTTAGAACCAGGATGACACAGATTCAGGACGGCAAAGATCAAGAGGACACACACCAGACCATAGTTTTACCAGTTTTGGGATCCTTATCAGAATGCACTGTGCTGGCCTGCATGAAGTGAACTTTTCAACTCCTTTCCCTTGATCTCTTTTTTCTGCTTTCCTGCTCTCTTATAAAATCCTTTGCCTGCATTGATGTGGGGAGATGGGCTTTGGACACGAGTTCCCATCTTCTCAGGTGACCAGTACTTGAATAAACCTCTTTTCTTTTTCACCGCCACCTGTCTCACAAGTTTGGCTTTCATGGCAACAGGCAGCTGAAGCTTGGTATCGGTTATAGGACACTAGCTTAACACATCCAGCCGGCACATTCAAACTACCTCTTCCCTTCCTGTTCCTTCCTTCATCTGTCTTTTACCCAGATGACAAAACAGAGCTCCTACTAGTCTTATTACAGGAGAGAGAAGAGTCTACAAAGCAAGCCAGCCTTCCTCACTTTTGGTCTTCAGCCCCCTAAAACCCTGGGTGGAGTTGGGGAAAGATTAACTGGCTCAGAAAAGATGATCCTTGATAAATAAAGTTAAAGGAGAGAAAAATTACAAAAAAATTACAATTGTTTTGGTTATTTCTGAAGTTGATCTTTTTTTTTTTTTTTTTGTGGTACATGCCCCTAGCGGGAACTGAACCCGGGACTCTCTGGTCCACAGGCCGATGCTCAACCACTGAGCCAAACTGTCCAGGACTGAAGTTGAGTTTGATCAATATGCCAGTTATAGGAACTGTGCAGTTTGCTGGTAATCCAGCGCAGAGCAACAGGAGAAGAACATTTTAAATATCACCTATTTCACACCATAAAGCCTCTTATATTTCAGTGGAGAAGATAATATATCTGTCTGAAATATAATAAAATATAAAACATGATAGTCCATGAAATCAGCAGCATACATTGTGATCCAAGTCAAAGTTTAATCTGCAATGTTACAGTGTGAAGACCATCATATATGTTTTTGTTCAAAAGAGAAAACAACAGTGATGACGATGAAACTGTAGCCCTGTGAGATTATGAGCATTGGAATATTGTGTAGATAAGGATGTCATAATCAGAGGATGTTATGTTGCTGCTTGGGATGATAGACCTACTTGAGTTTGGGAGCTCCAGATAAAACAGATGTTCCCTAGAAGGAAGAATTAAATGACTTTGAGCTTCCCAACTTACACAGTGGGCTGGATGACTTCCATAGAGTAGATATTCTCAATATGGGCACTTGAGACAATCAGTATTATGATATTGGAGAAACAGTGGAGAGGTGGAGGAACACACCTAGGAGTTAATTCTGGAGCCAGAATCACCCTTAGGTTGGGTGAATACCAGTGCCTTCTGAATGGCTACTATAAAAGGTATTAGTTAGACCTTGTTTCTTTTATATCAAAAATATGTTACCAATGGGTATATGGCAGTGAAAATAATATCAATATTAATTCCTCAGGCATCCATGAAAGACGGTTCTAATACACCTAAAGATAAAATAAGAGGGTCCTCGAAAAGTTAAACTTAGAATTATGACATGACCCTGAATTCTGAGCTCAACTGGGTTTATACAGTATATCTAAACACACAGACATGGTGAGTTCACTTAAAATTCAATACAACACGAAAAAATGCAACCCTGGAAATCGGAGACTTGTGTTTGAGAAAATATGGAGGAATGTAATGATGTGGACCTAAAGGAGGTTGGAAAAGAGCCTTTTTATGAAAAGCAGTATCAGCTAAAAGAGAAAAAGAAGTTTAATGGAAACATACACTGTGTTGTAGTCTTTTCTTAAATCTCTGTAAATTTGGCCCAAATTCCTTTGAGTTACAATTTTCAGTCAAAGTCACCATTCTGTTACTCCCCTTTTCCCGCAAGTATGGGCTTTGTTCTTTACAATTTAACTGGATGCTTTATCTCAAAATGAACCTCAGAGCAATTGTGAGGGTTCACCTTTTCGTTGCTTTCGTAATAAAATACCAACTTGCACTTGTAATAGTGGCTGGCCATGTAATTCCCTTCAAAGTTAATAAAGTGTCTGTGTTCCCTTTCTCCTGTTGTGTGAGAAGAGTGACGAAAACGTTTGGAAATAAAACTGAGACGATCTTTGGCTGTTTTGTAAGGAATTATACATCTAAGCCACGATCACTCACCAGAAGTGTTCTAGAACCATTTTAACTGTTATTTTCAGAAATGCTCTTTGGCAAGGTGGATACGATGCCCCCTCAGTTTCAACTCCTAGAGTAAATTATTCCTTCAGTGATAAAATATTCTTATTTATCTGTTGGAAAGTTACTGATGTTTGGTTAGTAATATAAGAACTGACTGATGCTCCAAGGTCTAGCTATTTCATTTCCATGCAGAATATGAAAAAAAAAAAAAAAATCCAAGAATAAATCATTGCATTATCTACCTTTACTCTCTCTTTGAGCAGTTTCGCGTAGCAATCGTTTTAATTAGTAGATGGCGTATAAGAATGCATGACAGCAGTTGTTTTATGCATTTTTAATACTGGAGGGTGTGGTGACTTACCTAGACACAAGGACAACATATGCTGAGCTAAGCATATGGATTGTAATAAAAATTATGACCATAGCACGCAGAGAGAGGCACAGAGGGACACAGTCAATGCATGCCTGTCCCCATGTAATCAGCTCACATCTTTCTAACATGCACTAGAGAGGACTTTATATGATTTTAGCTGAGGAAATAGGGTAGAACATGAACCATGATAATACTTCAATCAGCTTCATCCATTTTGAAACATGCAAGTATTTTTCTTGTGAATGCAAATTCAGAGGTGGTTTTTTGTTGTTGTTTTTTTTTTAAATTATGATTCAAGAGAGAAATTGGAAGTAAATACAAGCTATGAGGACCAGCTTGAAGAAAACTCAAAATATCAAAACAGATTGTGTTTTCCTGCTTTAAACATTTGATCTCATTCCATGTTTGCTAGAGGAGATAGTTCAGTTACCAGAACTCTATTGATTCAGTGAACAAAACAGCTGGTAAGGTACCTTCTCCTGATACTGCCGCCGGGAGGAGTCCAGGGACTGGATCAGAGCCGTGGCGTGGCCCACGAACATGGCGTAGCAGGTGGCCCCGACGATCATGCTCAGCATGGTGATCCAGAGGTCCGACATGCTGACCGGGGCCTGGGCCCCGTACCCGATGCACAGCATGTGGCTCATGGCTTTGAAGAGGGCGTACGAATACTGCTTTCCCCAAGAATCGTTCTGGAACGGAGGAGAAAGAAAACAGGCTGAGCCACGGGGGCAGCAGAGGGAAGGGAGAATGACCGGCACCGAGGTGTCCGGGATTGCTAAGCACGGAGACGTCCCTGTGACATGGCATTTACACCGGGGCCTCTCCGACCTGCGCCTCGGTGACGTCGTGTTTCCCAAAGCCTGCCTGGCACTATGAAACAGAAAGAGAATAGCCCCCTGTGAGGACATGCCTTTCACCCTGGCCTGTTTGGGCCTGTGGATGGAAGTGCCATGGGTTCGGTTCTGGTGAAGGGCTCTTTTGAAAAATCAATGGAAACCTGACCAGTGTGGCTCAGTGGTTGAGCATCCACCCAGGCACCAAGAGGTCACCGGTTCAGTTCCCGGTCAGCACACATGCCCAGGCTGTGGGCCGATCCCCAGTGGGGGGCATGCAGGAGGCATGTTCTCTCTCATCGATGTTTCTCTCTCTCTCTCTCTCTCCCTCTCCCTTCCTCTCTCTCTAAAATAGCAATAAAGAAAAAAATTTAAATAAAAATCAATAGAAAATTATCCTCAGCTGAGGAGTAACAAAAACAAAATAAAAAAAGAGATATGCCTTCCTACTCAGTTTTAGGTGTGTTTTTTTTAATATTAAAATTACTTTTTGGACAATGGTGTGAATTATCACATCAAAACGCCAGGGATGAATGCGGACAGCTCAAGTCAGTCTCCAGGGATCTGCTCTCCAGAAACGGATTTGCGGGCCGAGATGGGTGTGGGGCTGATGAGCCTAAACATAGCCATTTCTATCACAACTATGATGCTTAGATTCCTAAAATCCAAATCGATGTTTGTGTAGTCCTTATCCTAGACTTCTTAAATAAAGAATATAAACATACTTTGAAATATGGTTGATAAATGGAAAGACTTCCCTGAGTCCTTCTCTCAGAGTCATGAATATTCAAATTCAAATGTCAGGTTAACAGTGAATGAGTCTTGATGGCTTTTGAAAAAATGCTAAAATAAGCAAAAACAAAAAAAAAAATCTTGGCAAAACCTCTGGGGAAAAAAAGGTGATTTCTGAGTCAATTATTAGATGAAATTCTGATGTCATTTCACAACTTTACCCCAAGCTCAGTTCTGCAAAAATAAGCCATTCAATATATCTTTTCTACCCTTGGATGAAATTTTTAAAAACTTGTTTGCCCAGGACTTACGTAATTTTTGAGGCCCAGTGCAAACGGAAAGTTTGGGGCTTTTAGTTCAGAACTCAGAAAAAAGAAAGCATTGTTAAAGATAACACTATATAAATATTTTTCCTTTAAGAGTATGTTACTACTTACAAAACTTCATGGGGTACAGTGACAGATGGACAGCAACAGAAATGTACAAATTTCAAAACATAATATTGTGGTATGATTATTATAATACAATAAATGATAATACTGTGATATTGCAATATCTTGACTGATCACACATGTTTTTCTGGCTTAATTTTCTGCAAATTTACTTCTTAGGTAATCAAAATTTATACAATTAGCAATTTCATTTTTAATGATAAATCAAAAATGACATAGCTTTTGGCTAACAAGATCACAAATGATGCTCGATACTTTTTAATTTCAAGAAAGATCTTTCCACCCTACCGGTGTGGCTCAGTGGATTGAGCATCTTCCCATGGACTAAGTCCTGGTTGGATTCCTGGTCAGGGCACATGCCGGGTTGTGGACTTGATCCCCAGTAGGGGGCGTGCAGGAGGCAGCTGATCCACGTCTCTCTCTCACATTGATGTTTCTCTTTCTCTCTCCCTTCCCCTCTCTCTAAAAAATCAATAACAACATATTAAAAAAAAAAGAAATATCTTTCTGTTGATGCAACTATTACTAAAGCTATTAAGAGTATTTTGTAGTCTGTGACAAGATTGGGATAAATTTCTAATAGTTATTTTAATATATAAATAGTATATCTGGAGTTATTCTCATAGAAACATTTTGCTATAAAGATATAACTCTTCATATAAATCAGTTTTATGTACATATAAATGTGATTTTTAAAATTAAACTTTTTCTTTAAAGATAATTATAGGTTTAAAATGCAAATTATAAGAATAGAGAGATATGTACCCTTCACCCAGTTTCCCCCAATGGTTACATCTTGCAAAACTACAACACAATGTCACAGCCAGGAAATTGACATGGATAAAATCCAGTGATCTCATTCCCATTTCAATATTTTACATGTACTCATTTGTGTGAGTATTTAGTGTTATGCAATTTTATTGCCCGTGTAGGTCCATATATTTTTCAACAGTCAAGATACAAAACAACTGCATCATGACAAAGATCCCTTCTACTGACTTTATACTGATTTCGATGTAAATGTCTGCAATGAATTTTAACATTTCCTCTGACATCCCTGTAACTTGCTGAGGTCATACAAGAAGCCAGAAGAAGTTTCATGATGTTGTATACAATCCAAAATTCCTGTTTATAGAGTCTATTCTCTTATTTTCAATTACAAGAATAATTTAATTTTTAAAAAGCGTCTTCCTTGTTAGTTCATTTACAGCTTCACATAAAAATAGTATTACGTCCCATCAAATGTGATGCTCTTTGAATTTAATTTGTATTTCTCGGCTGGTGATGTTTGCTTTGCAATGTGGCAGCAGTTTTCCAAACGGGATACTGAACTGCAGAGAAGTCTAATCACTTCCTGATACGCTTTACTGCTATGTCATATGTATTCTCGATTCTGTAATGATTTATTGACAACATTTGCTGCCTGAGCTCCGCAGGCCCTGCCAGGGAACTTGGGCAGGGATTTAACCTGCGTGGAGCTACTGTAGGAAGAGGCTCCTGGGAAGGACAGGCAGCTGGCCTATCACCGTGGGTGCTGTCCCTGTCCGTCAGGGGGGAGCAGCTCCGGTCTCCATGGTGGCCACTGACACTGTGGCCGTGGTCATTGCCACTGCTGGTCTGGGGAGATGTGCCTTGGCCACGCTGGGGACACAGCCCCCCAGACGGCTGAGGCGTGCCTGCGTGTGCCCGCTGCCTCGCCACCGCTTGGCACTGTGGGCCTCCTGGGCCTGCGGGCCTGACCCTGTGTGCCCTCAGCTGCCCCCTGCAGCCCCTGCTCACTCACGTCCCTGCCCCGCTGTCCCAGGGGACTCAATCACAATGCATAAAATCAAAAAGAAAACTACTAAGAATTTCCAGATAGCAGCATCAGCACACTACACCGAGCACAGGGTCCTTCTGAAAGCTGCCTCCAGCGACAGGAAGGTGGCTCCCCTCCCGCCGGGAGGCCGTCCTGCTGCCAATACTCCCGCACGGTTCGGAACGTTTCAAGTCATTTTTAAAATACATTAAGTATATGTGAATATTTTGTTCATGTTTTAAAGGGGTTTTCCAAAATGACTTTGGGTGGTGGGTACACAGAGCAACATGCAGATCATGTACCGTAGACACATACACCTGAAACCTACATAATCCTATCAGTCAATGTCCCTCCAATGATTCTAATAAAATAAGTGACATTGACTTGTCTAATATGTCGTAGATGTTCATTTCCGAGTGTGCCCTGGTGTTAATATATGAGCTCCTCTAAGAACCAAGCTGATGCTTCATTCTTCTCTGTATCTTTACCCACTGGAGGGTTCATTTAAAGATTGCTAATTAGAAACTTAATAAACAAAATGATAAGGCACAGAAGTGTCCTTCCCTGGATGATGGCATGAGATGTGCTACAGGTGTACAGTGGACGCCGCTCGGGCACAAGAGACGACGGAATACTGCCATTAGCGACAGCACAGATGGACCTTGAGAATATTATGCCAAGCGACATAAGTCAGACAGAAAATGTTGAGAAACATGTCATTTTCCTCATATGTGAAGCATCAAACTGTAAGCAACAAATAAACAAACAATAAAACAAACAAACAAAAACTCATAGACACAAACACCAGTATGGTGGTTACCAGAGGGGGGCGGCGGGGCTGGAAAGGGTAAAGAGGATCAAAAACATACGGTGACAAAATACGGTGGCGGGTCCAGAGTGCAATCTATATGATGCACCATAGAAATGTACACTTAAGACCTATATAATTTCATTAACCAATGTCAGCCCAATACATTTATTTTGAAAAAATACTGAGCATGATAAGGCTTAAAAGCCTAACCCTATAAACTTTGGACATGCAAGTGACTCCTGACAATAAAAAATATTGAGTCCCATTTGATTGAAAGAGTTGCTCCTTAAAGTGAAATTCATTGTTATTGACTTATAAAATGAGATCAGGCTGCCATCTATCTATCTATCTATCTATCTATCTATCGTCTATCTATCAATCTATCTATCTATCTATTGTTTATCTATCTATCTATCTATCTATCTATCCATCCATCCATCTATCCATCCATCCATCTATCCATGCATCCATCCATCCATCCATCTGAGATCAGCCAGTCTAAGTTTTTGAGAACATTTGTAACAGAATAAGGACTACACCAGGAAACAGAGTGGTGGCCAACCAGAGGGTAAGGACATTTGGAATGATAGCATCTGAATTGTACTTTAGGGAGATTGATCAGGAAGAACTGTTGAGCAGCGGTTCTCCGCTGAGGATGGTTTTGGGGAGACAGAGAACACAGTGACTTGCCCAAGGTTACCAAGGTTACCCGTGTGTACAATGAACATTCAGTGGTTCGAACCCAGGCACTGCGCCTCGAGAGACCATGCTACTAACCACCACATGATCCTGCTCTTGAGTTTATAAACGTACCATATTTAAAATTTCAAATGAAACATTGAGGCTGAAAAGCTCACTAATCAGCCCAAATCTTACATTTAAACTCTTATTCAACATAGTAATTTAAGTTAAGGCAGAGAGGAGACCTGAAGGAGGAAGAGCTGGGATCTGAGAGGGTTTTATGAAAGTCTGGGAATGTTTCTACTCCCAACATCATATTTCTTTTACTACGTGACTGTTCTCTTTCCGTTTTCAAAAAACGAGACTATTAAATACCTGAATT